ACAAAGTTCTCCTGGCACTGGGAGGTGTAGCTTGAATCTCTCTGCAATAGCTTTGCTGAATCTAGCTCTCTGTATTTAAAATCTTGAATATATAACTTGAATGCGAGTACAGAAAAGCTTGATCTTCTGCCCCACCCCTGGTTACATAAGGCCAAGCATACTGCAACATTCTAGCTCCTCCCTGGATGATGCAGATGAAGCCACACATGCCTCATTCTAGGACTGAAGTCCACACAGGAGGAATAGGTGAAAGTAGTTGTAAGTAAATCTTACCTTCAGTCTTCTCAGCAAGTCTGAAATAGTGACCATACCTGTGGAAAGTGCTGTCTTTGGATCTTGCAAGTAACATGTGGTGAGTTAGATATTTTGGCCTGATTTGAATATCAGCTCCGATAAGGATAGGAAATAGCATATTACCTGGGATGATGCCCCTGACAAAAGGGTGGCTATTTAGGAAAGTATTAAAAGCTGATATGATGACTGAGAGGGTCTAAGCATCAGGTTTGAAATACTCCATCAAACAATGGGGTTCAAAAGACCTTAAAAAAACCAGAAGTATAATCAAGGGCTGTTGGGTTTTTTCCCCCATTGCACGAAGGAGGGCAATGTGGATTTTGTCTGAATGCTCTTCACAGGTAAGCCACAGGTGATGTGGCTAAATGATGGTGCATTTGTGCCCCCAGGGTTTCCGCTACGCCAGAGAAGAAGGCAGGTGTTGCGGCCAGTGTGTGCAGGTGGCCTGTGTGGCAAAGCTTCCATCTGGCATTGTGACTATTGAGGTGTGTGTGTGTTCCCCTGCTCGCCAAGGAATTGCAATATGACACTGGGCCCTCATTTTAGAAATACAGTTTCCCGTCAACTTCAATGGAGAGTTCTGCTTAAAAACTGAGTCCCACTATGTGTTGCAGCATGAGGAAGTTAATGCCTTTATGAAATAAAGTATTTCTGAAGTGAATCTACCTAGGTATTTATATGCCCTCCCCCCATCACAGTATCTGAGCACCTCAATCATTACTGAGTTATTCATGCAGTACCTCTGTGAGGTAAGGAAGTGTTATCCCCATTTTACAGATGGGCAGCTTGGACAGAGACTGACAGACCTGACGAAGGCCACACAAAGTCTCCTGAGTCTTAGACTAGTGTCTTTCTCTCTGCTGCACTGCAAAATGTATGTTTAGAACAGGCGAAAATCTTAACCAGCCTGTGCACTGACACAGTGACTAGTGGCTTATATGGTAGCTCTGACATCCAGCATCTCCTTTATTTGATTTTTGTATTCCCTGGTCACTGATATGTAGACTACTTTCGCCAACTCCAAAAAGTTAATTTTGTCCAAAGGTAGCTATATTTTGTTATTAATCTTTTGATCTCTGTTATAAAGGCTGACTTCCCATTTCATGCTCTTTCCCCCCCTCTACCTGCTGAAAAAAGAAAATTGGAAAAAATCTAGAAGGAAAAAAAGGATTTTCCTCCATGCCTATCTTCTCCCATAAATAGTAACACCACACTCATCAATGCATAACTGTGGGCCTTGGTATGTCTCTTAATATCCCTACTGTTATGAGCCTTTGATTATTTCAACTCAGGTAACAATTACAGATGGGATTGTCAAAGCATCCTAAGGGAGTTAATGCAGGATGAAATTTCAGGAGTTGCTAATACCTTTCAAGACAGAAGAAAAATCCTGTCCCTATGTTGGATCATGTGTTGTCTCAGGATAACTTTATTTTTTCTGCTTTATTCAGGTTGGGAAGACCTATAAAGTTCTGGAGGATAACTGTACTCTGTATAATTGCACTCAGTCATCAGGCCAGTTTGTTTTGACTAGCACAATAATATCCTGCCCAGCGTTTGATCCATCAAACTGTGTCCCAGTGAGTATTTTGTAGCTGGAACGGTATAAGTGAATGATACAAGCAGCTTTGTGATAGTGGACCAGTGGATTGATTGGGCACTGTGTCTCATTATTAGAAGTCTCTTATTGCTGCTGTTCAGTCTGCAACGTGCACATCTAAGATTAGAATCTGAGCAATTCTGGTTCTGTTTGCTTTCAATATAGGGAACTGTTGCGACAACTTCAGATGGATGTTGTAAGACATGTGAGTATGGTCAATCCAGCGATTCATTAATCAAACATTGTCAGGCTCTCCATTCATTGTGGCCCTGATCCTGCAAGGTAATGAATGCCCTCAACTCCACCGAAGTCAGTGGGATGTGAGGGCAGTTATCACTTCTCGGGAGGTGCTCAGTTCTTCGTTTTATTAGGCTCAAAACCAGCCTAATAAAACAAAGTGGTGCCACTGGAAAAATCTTCATGCTCTCCCTTTCTTGGTTTTATAAAGAAGTGAGATATTTATAGTTTAGACTAAGTTCCTGATGAAAGAATGATGTAACCTGTTAGAGAATATGTTCTGGATTCTGGCGTGTAGGAACTGCATAGAAAGCATGGTTCTGTTACTGTAGGACCTATGCTAAACAGTGTTGGCTGCTGTAAAGCCATAAAAGTGACAATTAGCTAACAAATGTTGTTACAGAAATGTAGGCTGTATAAAAAATATACAATTGTATCTGCCTCGGGCCCTGATCCAACAAAGCAGTTAAGCATGTGCTTTTAAGCTCATTGTTTAAGACTATCCTTAATCAGCAAAATACTTATGCAAGTGTGTAAATGCTTTGCTCAACTGGGGCCTTTAAACTCTCCTTGGCTATTTGAACTCTAACTGTTCTTAAGAAGACAGAGACAAGACTTGGTTGCTTAGCAGATATCTCTCAGTGCTTTAACTCTAATCTGAGTAAGGCTAATAGGATCCTTCCCTCCTAGGTATCCCATTGTCAAATGTTTGCAAACTGAAGCTGAAAAAAGAATACATCACTCACAAGAGCTGTAAATCAGCAGCTCCTGTCCTAGTGCCTTCATGTGAAGGGTCCTGCGGTACATACTCTGTGTAAGTAAGAAACTGCTTCTCTATGCTTATGTGATGTCTTGTGATGTCATGTTCTTTCTCCTGCAGGATCACAGCTACTATCTCCATTAACCCTTTTCCTTGATCCTCTGAAAAGGAAGCTGGATGAGCAGAGCGCCAGCTTTTTAGCCATGAGACTACATGTCATGCTTGTCTGTTTTGTCACTAGGATTGCCAGATCTAGGCTAGGTAAATAGGTCATGTTTAACAGGTTAACTAACACATTTTTACTTACACATTTTTAAATGTTTGGTTTTTTTACTTGCAGTTTGGGTTCTGCATTAGGCTGATTCTTCCTTTCTGTGTGGTCATTTTGGGCCTGGTCCATGGCTCTTTAAGTCTATGGAAAGCCTCCCACTTACTTCAGGTGGGAGTTTTTCCATCAACTTCAGAGGTCTTCGGATCAGGCCCACCAGGACTACTAATGTCCTGAGAATAGACTGTTACTGATATTGTTTTTCCCCCTGCTGCTTACAAGCAGAAGAAACACTAAAGTTTTCCTTCCCCACTCACAGTTCTAGGGGAAGCTAATGGTAATGAAGAGCAGGAAAGCGATAGCTAATTGATTGATCTATTAGTTTTGTTCCCCCAGGTATGCTTTTGATGACAGTAAAATGAAACACAAATGCACTTGCTGCCATGAAACAAAGAGCCATGAGATGAAGGTGGAATTGATTTGCTCTAAGAGGAAGAGAATCGAATACACATATGTTCATGTAGATGAGTGTGACTGTGTGGAGACAAAATGCCAGGAGAAAAAGCCATAAAGACAAAGTGCTGGAGAAACATCTATTTTTAATGCTTCACCTGTGAATAGTTTAGAACATAGCTGTGAGTGTTCACTGACCTTTTAATGAGGTTCCTTCCCTCCTTTGCTTTTCCTTCCAGTAATCTGTGCAATTGTGGAAATTTACTAAAGGATGCTGCTCTAAATGTTTGTAGAATAAACTACATTTGAAAGCTGTTATATTCTGCTGTGGCATTTATCTCAACTGATATGTATGCTAGTGTCTTTCATTCCAAAGTACTTTATAAGCTATTTATATGCAACTGTAGAGATATATGGTGCTGTGCAAACTTAGCCCCTGCCTGAAAGAACTATACATATTCAACCTACACTTGATTCACCTCTGCAGTAAAACACAGCAGCTTTTTCACAGCACTCATTCAGTTGAAAAAGCAGCGATGAATAACCATAACCAGCTGAAACTGTAAGGAGGAATTCAGAGTGACAGGTTGTAATTTGTCTAGCACCATGGCTGGAACTCCTACTCTTATGAATAAGCATAAGGGGATCTCTTATTGCTATGAGCGGTCAGGATCTCTGCTGTACATCTCAGCCAAATCCCTGCAGCACCAAGAATCCCCTAGCATTCTCCTGTGATAATGCATTCATGCTAAGTGGCAGAGAAGAACAACACCTACCAAATAACCAACACGGCTTCATGGAGCACCCAGGTTCCTAGGGGATCTCCTGTGTCTGGGCTGCTTTGGTTTAGATGGCCCTAGTGGAGTCTGTGGTATCATAAAGCCAGCATAATAGCACCAGCATCATTCTCCTCCCTGCATCCAGTGTAGGTGACATTGCCAGGGAGAAAGGGGTGTGGCTGAAGTTTCTCTGCACCCTGACAATCAGTGACTGACTCTTCCGGCCATTAGCAGCTAGTGTGATTTAGAACAGCCAAACAACTTCCCTAACTTACATGCACAGACCAGCCTAGTCCAGAGTCAAGTCAGGGGTACACAAAATGACTTAAAACCACCTTTGCACTATCTGCTTGAGCTGTGCACAAACTTGGCTGAGGATTTTGGTAAGACATGAAGCGAGGTGTCATTTTCTATTGCATCCTGCGCATTACAATAATGACTTTCCCAATGCAGTTCTAAAAACACACCTTTTGTGTAAATGCAGGCAAATGGTTATTTGTACACCATTCTGTTCTTTTCTGGCTTGTTGGTTGTTATATAGACTAATATCTATAGAACTAAGGTGACACTGGCAGACTGTCTTCATTGGTACCCAATGAGAGACTGAAATCCAAACAATATTGTTCATTACATCCTATCATGCAGTGACTACTAGCTACATTATAAACAATCAACTACTATTCTAGCATCTGCCATGGGACAGAGGAATTAAGATAATGTGATGTTGACCATGGTCAAAAGCTGACCACTAGATGTCACCACTGTTACATATGTAAAGTTTACAAGCAAGGCAGGTCAGTACACTTTTTAGGTGCATCCTGGAGTTTGCTGCTATCCTAGTTTCCACACAAGATCTAGAGGTTGTGAATTACTAATCCCATCTATGGCCCAATCCTGCAATTTGATGCATGTAGGCTGGCAGCAGTGTCCACAGGGAGCCCCATCACATCACAGGATCAGGGTCTATCAAGAGAAGAGTGGAAATGTCAAGTCACTTACTCTCCAGTTTCTCTACATAATACAAAACCACAACCTGCCCGTCTCTTCTCAGTAAAGATTCTAAAGCATTAAATAATACAACATAATCTCATTTATCCACTGTAAAAATGTATAACGTTTTTAAAATTGTGCTTCATAACCTTAACTAGGACCACAGATAATAGACAAAAATAACTGATTGTAGAAACAAATAGCTTAAGACTGCAGAAAAGATTCCAAGGCCAGAAGGGAGCATTGTGATCATTGTGTAACACATAGCATAGAACTTCCCCAAAAGACCTTCTAGAAAAATATCAAATCATGATTTAAAAATTGCCAATGATGGAGAATCCACCATGAATCACCCTTACTGTTAAAAATTTACTCATAATTTCCAGTTTGAATTTGTCTAGCTTCAACTTCCATACATTGGATGGTATTATATCTTTCCTTACTAGACTGAAGATCCCATTATCAAATACTTATGCCCCATGTAGGTTCTTATAGACTGCAATCAAGTCACACTTTAACCTTCTCTTTGTTAAAATAAATAGATTGAGCTCCTCTTGTCTATCACGATAAAGCATGTTTTCTCATCATTAAATCATTCTTGTGGCTCTTCTCTGAACCCTCTCCAATTTATCCACATCCTTCTTGAATTGTGGACACCAGAACAGGACACAATATTCCAGCAGTGGTCATAGTTGTAGTTAAGGTTAAGAAGAACTATTTAGGATTCTTCTGCAGGAATAATAATATACATTTTAAAATATATAAATATGGTTATAGCATTACTTCACTCCTCAGAATGCATATTCAAAAGGGATGTGCCTATGTTTTTAAGTGACTAATGATGTAGATATGAAGAAACTTAATTTCCTTATTTTAAAGCATTGAGAGTGTGGAGTGCTAAGTAGCCTTAACTGTAATTTAATGCTGTTTTTGTAAATGTTTTAGATGGTCTCAGGGCAGTACCACATGGACAGACATACTAAACTGGTATTTATTGGCACCCTGGTTGTCAGTCTACCCAGGCAGGCCCAGGATTTGAGTGGGCATAGCACATGAATGACCTTCTCCCTCCACTGTGCCCAGAATGGCTCATCCTGGAGTGAGGCATGTCGGTGGGACAGTGTAGGGAAGCTTACACAACCACTTCAATAGTCTGCACATTGTTCTTACTCAGTTACCTCTGCGGTGGCAAGCAATGCTGAATGTCCCTAATAATCATGCAGAGAAGGGCATTCAGCCCATGGCAATTTTGAAATGTAAGAAGAAGGAAAATTACATTCTAATTTTAAACTAGTAATATATTTATTCTTCTCTGAGCCTGGCTACTAGCTGCAGTCAGCCCATATCACTACAGCTGAGACAATTTTTTTTTAAACTTATAGAATCATAGAATATTAGGGTTGGAAGAGACCTCAGGAGGTCATCTAGTCCAATCCCCTGCTCAAAGCAGGACCAACACCAACTAAATCATCCCAGCCAAGGCTTTGTTAACCTGGGCCTTAAAAAACTCTAAGGATGGAGATTCCACCACATCCCTAGGTAACACATTCCAGTGCTTCACCACCCTCCTAGTGAAATAGTGTTTCCTAATATCCAACCTAGACCTCCCCCACTGAACTTGAGACCATTGCTTTTTGTTCTGTCATCTGCCACCACTGAGAACAGCCGAGCTCCATCCTCTTTGGAACCCCCCTTCAGGTAGTTGAAGGCTGCTATCAAATCCCTCCTCACTCTTCTCTTCTACAGACTAAATAACCCCAGTTCCCTCAGCTTCTCCTCGTAAATCATGTGCCCCAGCCCCCTAATCATTTTCGTTGTCCTCCGCTGGACTCTCTCCAACGTGTCCACATCCCTTCTGTAGTGGGGGGACCAAAACCGAACGCAATTCTCCAGGTGTGGCCTCACGAGTGCCGAATAGAGGGGAATAATCACTTCGCTCGATCTGCTGGCAATGCTCCTACTAATAAAGCTCAATATTCCCTTGGCCTTTTTGGCAACAAGGGCACACTGCTGACTCATATCCAGCTTCTCATTAAATTAAAACGTTTTAATTTTGCTTTTGTGGTTGGATACAATTAAAAAGCGAAAGCCCCTATTTTGAAAATATACCACTTAAGCACTTTCTTCAGCAACGTGCTTTCTTTAAAATTATTTTAGTTTAGTGAATGTATTGCTTACAGAAGGGGCCAGCGCTGCAGACCAATGTCCTCCATTTAGCTACAGCACTGGCAGAGGCATTTCAGGGCCTCCTTTTTTTTATTGTATCTAATTATACTCTCTCTGTTTCCCTCAGCCCTGGCTCTAGCAAACAGCCAGGTGAGTTGGTCTCATGCCAGCAAAGCTCCCCCACATTGCTCTACCAATATTACTTTATTCCTGTTCTTTATGAACCACTCAAGGGTGGGGGGAAAGAAGGTAGCTCAGTCTCTGGGCCTATAAAACCCTTGGCCTTCTTGTTTCGATTGACCACATGGGAGCCAATAAGTGTTAATGTGATATGGCTCACTGGGAGGACTTCATTACCGCAAGTTTCCCCATACAGCTCCACCGATATCCCATTCATCCTACTGTGGATGAACTACTTCTGGTATGGATGGGTTATTCAATCCTGGGCCTCCTTGCTTACACTGCAAATAAGGGCCGGGATGATGTGGCTGTCCACATGAAACTAGCCAGTAACTAAGTAAGACGACTGCTTGTCACATGGCTGAGTGATACAAACAAAGATTAATCAAATGCAATGAATAGTAGAAGGAATTAAAATGTGTGGGGTTAGATAGAGCAGTGGCTCTCAACCTTTCCAGACTACTGTACCTCTTTCAGAAGTCTGATTTGTCTTGCCTACCCCCAAGTTACACCTCACTTAAAAAAACTACTTGCTTACAAAGTCAGACATAAAAATACAAGTGTCACAGCACACTATTACTGAAAAATTGCTGACTTTCTCATTTTTACCATATCATTATAAAATAAATCAATTGGAAAATAAATATCATACTTACATTTCGGTGTATTGTACATAGAGCAGTATAAACCAGACATGCCAAACCTGCGGAAAAAAACGCAGAAATTGGGCTTGTTTTTGGCTTAATTGGCTTGTGAGTTGCTCGTTGGCTAGTTTTCGGCTTGTTGCTTGTTGCAGTTTGTTGCTTCTTTTTTTTGATCGGCTCCCAGCAAGCAGGGGCAAGGGTGGGGAGAGAGTCAGGGGTCCACAGCGGGCCCACCACAGTTCCAGACTGCACGCCAGGGGGATCTAGTCATATAGAGTGTTGGGGTTCTTAGGGATTGGCTTGTTTTGGCCTTGTTTTGAAATGGGATTAGCTTGATTTTTGGCTTATTGTGAAAGTCGGGGTGCTTATTTACCACGTGAAAGTAGGCAACTGTGGTATAAACAAACCATTGCATGAAATTTAACTTTGTACTGACTTTGCTAGTGCTTTTTAGATAGCCTCTTATAAAATGTAGGCAAATATCTAGATGAGTTGATGTACCCCCTGGAAAACCTCTGCATATCCCCAGGGGTACACGTATCTCTGGTTGAGAACCACTGAGACAGAGGATGTCATTCTCTGAAGGAGTTGAGCTGTCCCTTTTGATAAGCACAAAATTCACTAATTTCTTTTCTTTTTTTCTCTCTTTTTTAAAGAAATCGTGTTACTGAAGAAAGCTGAAGAAACTCTCTACATTGTCTATTTGCCAGACCCTTAGCTGGTATAAATTGGTGTAAGACCATTAAGAGCAATAACAGTTGTAAGTGTGGCAGGTTATGCAGATGGCCCACGTTTTGACTCAATCATGCTGCCTGTCCTGCTACACTGCAAAGGCATTGCAAACACACCCCAAAGAGTCCCTTCCAAGTGCCTGAGGGAAAAGCATGCTGAGCCGTTAGCCAGCAGACCTTAAGCACCAATCTCATCTCTAGTGTAGATATTTTTATGTGCCACTCAGTTCTTATAACTAATCAAGGCCTCTTATCCCAACTCTAAAAGGCAGTCTAGTATTAGCTTCCTATTGCATCAACAATTTAATGAGCGTTTGCATAAAGTATGTTCAGAGAGAATTGGGAATAGACTACTTTCTAATGTGGCAGACCCAAGTCTTACACACTCAGGCTTTCAGGGTTGAATGTGCCATCTATGTGCTTTGGTTACCCTCTCTCTAATCACTATATTGCACCAATGGATAGAAACCAGGATTTCTGATCTTTAGTATTTTACTTCACCCTCGCAAAGAGTTGTGTAACCCATGAGCAACACATGTACCAAGTCTCCTCCAGTGGCTGATCCAGGGAGAGATTCACTGGTATTCCTTAAACTCAAGTGATCATAGTCTCTACAGGGCCGGTGCTTCTACTAGGCGACCCTAGGCGGTCGCCTAGGGCGGCAGGATTTGGGGGGTGGCATTTTGCCGTTAATGGCAGAAATTTGGCGGCAGGGGGTCCTTCCACTCTGGGTCTTCGACGGAAATTCGGCAGCGGGTCCTTCACTCACTCCGGGACCCGCCGCCGAAGTGTCCCAAAGATGCGCAGCGGAAGGACCCCCACCATGGAATTCTCAGAGGAGGAGCGCTGCCGCCTAGGGTGACAAAAACCCTGGCGCCGCTCCTGGTCTCTACTGAGGATATAGAATCATAGAATCATAGAATATCAGGGTTGGAAGAGACCTCAGGAGGTCATCTAGTCCAACCCCCTGTTCAGGGCCTGGGTTTAAATTCTGTTCTTGACCCATGTGGGGATTCTTATGGTTGCATGTGATAGAATTTGTTCTTCCAGCTTTCTTTTTCAAAAGTGGTTTATTTAATTAAACATCCTTTAAAACTAGTTTAAAACATTATATTCTGTATATTCAGGGCATGCGACACAATACACATGTCCCACATTTCATCACAAATTAGGTTGCTGGTTTCATACACTGAAGATGGAGAAGTAGAATCAATAGGAATTTACACCAGCTGAGGAACTGACCCATGTTCTCTCATTTCATTATATTCATTCATCAAAGTTTAAAATTAAAAAAAAAATTCAACTGTAGCAGCATGGGCTGAATGTGCCTGGTAGCCAGGTTAAGAACGGCATTTGGTACATTATTGATTTAAAACATTAGTTTAAAATGCAAGAAGAAAAAATATAATATACAGAATACCCGTCTTTGTGTAATAATAAGTTTGACCCTGGGAAAGGGCATGTGGTAATCCTTTGTTAACAAGGCTTCTTGGCAAATTTCACATTGTCAAGGATTGTGCTCCTGCTGGTATTGGTCAAATAACACACACTTTGCAACAAAAATCTAAAAAAGACATTTCTTTCACCTGTCTCCCTTTGGTGAGGAATCCCACATTAAATTGTGCAGGGCAAATAGGTTTTGTTGGCAGTCAGAGAGACATGCATGTGAACTCTGTAAATCAATCATTCCCACTAGGAGAGCTTAACAAAGGCATTAGTGAAAAACTCTCACCACCCCTGCATTGTGTTGGGGGGAAAACAACCACTAATGTCACAAGGTATGCTCTTAAAACTGGTTTCATTCTGTCTTTTACACACAATGAGACATTTTTATAATGACATTTTTACTTAAAGATATATTTTCCCATTTATCTTTGGCATGCAAGGTGGTTTTTAGCTGGGTAACATGATTTTAGCTTAGAGATGGCTAATTCCAGTCTGCAAGATGCTGTCCTTCTGGACGTCTGGTGCACCTGCATACCTCCGGGGATAGGCATGATATTTTGTTTAATCAATCCAGCTCCAACCTGCCATGTTGAACAACAGCCGTACAATGCAACTTCTCATAAATGATGGTGTCTGGTAGCCCGACATTGAAGTGGACTTGTTGAGCTTTAGATGGCATATTTGGTTAAATGCACAGTTGCACTGGAGCAAAACACTTTGTAGAAGGGCAGGGAAAATGTAGCTGACTCCATGCTACCTTTCTGCTCCCTCAACTCAGGAGCAGGTGACATGACAAATGTCTCCCTGCCTTTTGAATTGATCTGGTAGTACAAAAGGACATTAGCATAGACCCTGGATCTGAAGAAGAAAGGTTAAGACAACTGGTCGTATTTTGTCAGAAGAAAAGAAGACCCAGGGAAGAGGTTATGATTGCTACTTACAAAAGCATAAGGGGCAACAGCCAGGGGAAAGGCCTAGATTCACAAAGGTAATTAGATATTGCAATGCTCAGCATCCAACGCCTAACTTTCAAGTGCCTAGAAAATCATAGGAACACACTGCAATTCACAAAGTCTGAGATAGGTGCCCAGGCTCCCTATACAATGAATGGGGGGAGAGAGGCACATTCGACTGCAATTCACAAAAGCCAGCAAGCTAGGCAGGGAGTCGCCTAAGCTAGCCAATGGGAGATGCTGGCAAGAGGAGTGTGTGCTAAGACCTTCCCCTCTCACAGAGATAGGCACTGACGTCTGGGCTGCAGGGAGGTGCCTATCTCTGCTAGCGATTCTTAGCAATGAGTCCTGTGTGGAGTTAGAAGCCTCAGGCATTTTTTTGCAAGAGGCCGGGGAGTGGGAAGAGGAGTGAGAGGAGCAGAGGTGCAGGTGTAGCGTGAACCTGGGGTGAAGAGGTTGGGAGGTGAGAGAGGGTCAGAGCAAGCAGCCAATCAGCACAGGGCAGAGGAAGTTTGATCAAAACTGTAGGAAGTTCTTAGGATGTCTGATGGTCCCTGCTTAGTCTGCTTCTGCAGTTGCTCCTACCAGCTGGAGACTTTGGCTGACTCCTTCCCTTCCTACTATTTCCCCCCAAGGACACATGTGGGTGGAGGGGAGAGGAGGCAGCTCCTGTGTTCTAGTGTCCCCAGAGGAAGAAGTATTCTCTCCCGCACAGGTCTGGGTGTTGGGAGGAGGTGAGGTATGGCTCTGGCTGGGCCCCATTTGTCCCCCTCGTAATGCTAGTTCACCCACAGTGGCTGGGGAGGAACAGGGTGAGGGGAGTGTGAAGTGAGATCAGGGAAAGGGACTGCAAATAGCTCCTGTACAAGATCCCCCTGACCTCCTGAAAGTAGAACCACTGTGGGGGACAAGACTACTGCATGGTCACTTCTCAGCTTCTTCACACACATCCGCAACCCCTTCATATACACAGTGAAGGCTGCTCTGTTTTACATTCACAGACTGACCCACTTTGTCCCATCCAACGAATGGCTAGTCACTGTGAGTGAAATGTATCTGTGGTGTAATGCCATGGAAGTCAGTGGAGTTATCCTGGGGGCTGATTTTATGTACATCCATTACCTCAGGACCCTCAGTATCTGGAAGCATCAGAAGTCACCAAAGGAACCGAAGTCACACCACCTTTCAGCCAAGATAGTAGGAGCTATGCTAAGCTAGTTTCATCCAGAAGTCATTCTTTGTATATTTTAAAAGCGATCCCACTGACTGGACAGCCTTGAGGCAATACTCCAGGAAGTGCTGCCCTTTGGCTAACCCATATAAGTAAAATAAATATTTGCCTAAGG